TAAAGGCGTCCCCCTACCGTTCCTTAAGACTCTACTAGCCTTGTTCTTGTGTAATGAGACCAACGAACCTAATGCTCTGATACCAAGTTTGTCACGACCCAAAACTGAGCCGCGACTGGCACCCACATTTACCCTCCTATGTGAGCGAACCAAACAATCTAACCCTTAACATTTCAATGTATATCAACAGAAAATAATGCGAAAGACTTAAACTCATAAGTAAAATCAATAATCAACTTCTATAACTCAAAACTTATCATTATCCCCAAAATCTGGAAGTCATCACCACAAGAACATCTATGATCAAATTACTAAACTAAGAGTATTCTAAGAAGCTAAAACAAGTAAAAGCTAGTCCATGCCGGAACTTCAAGGCATCAAGACATGAAGAGGAAGATCCAGTCCAAGCTAGAAGCATTAGCTCACCCTGATATCCGGAGTAAGGAAGACTGGCTAGAGTTGCTGTTGAGTTGAAGACAATGGCACGTTTGCTGCACTCCACAAATAACAAAAGGAAAACATAAAAGTAGGGGGTCAGTACAAACACAAGTACTGAGTAGGTATCATCAGCCAACTCAAAATAGAAAACAGTATATACCAAGTAATATCATAAAATCAACTATGATACTCAACATGTAGCAACAACAAGTACTATATCATTAACAATTACCGTCAAGTTCACACACGAGGGCTCAAGCCTCAATACCATACTCATTTGGGAATTAGATTCATTAGATTGAGTATATTAGCATCTTTCAAGATTCATTATCCATATTCCTCATGTGTCGGTACGTGACACTCCGCTCCCTCATTAATCTCTATTCCTCTTGTGTCGGTACGTGACACTCCGATCCCCTACTACTATGTGTCGGAACGTGACACTCTGATCCCCTAATTCTACGTGTCGGTTCGTGACACCCGATCCCCTAAATCTACGTGTCGGTTCGTGACACCCGATCCCCTAAATCTACGTGTCGGTTCGTGACACTCGATCCCCTAAATCTACGTGTCGGTTTGTGACACCCGATCCCTTAATTCTATGTGTCGGAACGTGACACTCCGATTCCCTAATCTCCTTCTATCAATTCATCAAGCCTTCTCTCTTACCAAGGCACCATCAATCTCATTACTTTAGTTCATCAAGCCTTCTTTTATACCAAGGCATCATCATTAACAAGAGATTAGGTTTTTATCAAGATTTGGGATTCAATAGCTTCATCATGCTTAATTTATCACAATTATATCATCACATTCATGCAAGCATACAATTAAGCATATAGCAGGGTTTACAATACTATCAATACATATCATTCGCTATTAAGAGTTTACTACGAATATCGTAAACTAAACCATAACCTACCTCCACCGAAGATTCGTGATCAAGCAAGCAATTTCCCAAGCTTTGTGTTTTTCCTCTCGTTCGATCCTCTCTCTATCGTTTCTCTTTCCCTCTCTTTGTTCTTTCTATTTTTCTTATTCAGACCCTCTTTCTTTTACCCTAATTAGCATATAATTAAGAATAAAAGATGGCAATAGTAACCCACTAATTAACTTAACGTTACCTCTTTTAACCCCCAAGTAATTAGACTTATTAACCTTAACCCTCTAACGTTATAATTAAAGTAGTAATAGTCCAAAACGTCCCTTAAAACGTGTAAAAAAATCCGACCAAGACTGGGATTACGCAACCTGCGACGGCGCGTCGTGCCTGCGACGGTCCGTCCTGCAGGTCGTCGCAAGGTTCAGAGACTCAATTTCTACCAAAGAGTCTGTGACGGTCCGTCACACCTGTGACAGTCCGTCCTGCCATTCCGTTACAAAGTTCAGAGAGTCGATTTTCAGTACCAAATTTCAGATTTTCTAAGTATTTTGAAACGAGACCCTGCGACGGTTCGTTGTGACCATGACGGTCCATCGTGGGGTCCGTCATCTCAGCCAATTTTCCAAAAATAAAATCTGTTGCTCAAAACGACTAAACAGGTCGTTACAATTTCACTTTGTTGAGATATAATTGGACTCAACTCATATCACAAGCAATAGTAGTACCAACGAGCCCTATAAAATTCCTAATTTGAATCACATAACTTGTCCAAACCCAATAATTAACCGCCTCATTCTTTCGATGATAGTAACCAGACCTTAACTCAATCCTAGAGAAAACCTATGTACCTTGGGATTGGTCAAAATATCATCTATCTGAGGCAATGGCTACTTGTTATGAATGGAAATCCTATTAAACTATTGATAGTCTATACACCCCATCTATTGTTAGTGACAGTGTTACCACTTTTGTTACTCTAGTTAAGACCATACATTGAAGGAGGAAAGAACCAATTTGTATCACCCGGGTACCAAATGGGTTCTAGTCATAGCATGAAGGATTAGAAATAAAAGTGATTCTTTCGTAAATTCCTATAGCCTCTTGAAAAAAAGTACGGACGTTAATGTATTGTTTCACAAGACTCTACTAGACTCATTTTAGTATAATGTGATCAACAAACCTAGTCTCTAATACCAACTTTCTCACAACCCAGACCGTCGTGATTAGCACTAAACTACAACTCAATAGGACAACCACTATTAGAAACCAACCCAAGTAACAAATCTAAAAACTAAGTCAATTAAGTTACGAAAGCAAGTTAAATAACTAAAGACAAAGTTCCATTACTAAGATCAAACAACAAAATAACAATGCGGAAGATAAACCTAGAATTTGTCAACAGTCGCGTGAAAATGTCATGTACTCAACAAACATACGAGCAAGTGAAGAATCAGTACACAACCACCGTGTACTGGTAGGATCACGCGGTTATCTCACTAGTGTAGCATAAACAAGCAATTACAACATCATAACTCATGCAGAAATATCAATATATTCAATACTATCATAAATGTCAACATCATAATTCACATGCTTTATCACATAGTTGGTCCTCTCACGCAATCCAAAGTCAAATTATTAGCATGCTGGAACTTGGTAATATAATCCCATTTGTATGTCGGAATGTGGCAACCGCTCCCAATCAGCATACTGGAACGTGGCAATCCGATCCAAGTTAGTGTGATAGAATGTGGCATCCGATCCCAATCACATATCACAATAATACATCAAGATCACACATTCAAGTCATGATTTTAAGGTATCGATATTTATATATCTTATTTCAACATCTATGATCAATATCACAACATGCTTACATATACAAGTTTCACAGCGAAGCAAAGCAAGTGTATATCACACAATCATCACCTACCTCGAATCCAAGCTTCAATCCCCTAATAGGGTCATCTTAGGGTTTGTAAGTGACTTTAAAACGCATCTGGCCCGCTCCAGCGGACCTATCCTACTGCAGTGGTGCCGCACCAGAGGCCTAAATCCCACTACAATGTCCTCAACGTGGACATAATATACCCATTCACGAAAACATCAATTTGGGGAGTTCTATCCAAATTATATTCCATAAAATGCTATGGGTTCATTATCGTCTTAAATATCCACTCATATAATAAAATTCACAATTAGATCTCTTATTCATTACTAGATTTTTCCTACACCTTCGTGAATCTGATTTCTTCAAAATTTGGACTAGATTGGGTAATTCCAAGTTACTACAAAGGAGTTTTCTGACCCCAATTTTTTTTCATTGATTTTTCATAACGACGAAATTAGATTGTTACACAACTATCATTTGTATTTTATTGGGGTTTTACCCTCTAAAGCCTTTGTTCTAGATGACTTTGTTTGTCTACAGACATTGTTCTGCTTAGATGAAGTGAAATGATTAAGATTTGGAGGTAGAAGAAAAGTTTGAGAGGACAAAGACAACGTAAGAAAATAGAGAAATTATTTTCATTTAATCGCAATCATTTGTCTACTGTAGAAGCTATGGACAATAATGATGGTTTAGCGAATAAAACGAAAGAGATATTCAAGCAAAAACTTTTGACGTCTCTTATTTAGGATTGAAACAAAAGGTCTATGAAAATACTCTAAATTGGTATTGTATACCATTGCATCTAATGAATATATGTTGTTGTGCAAGCCATTCAATAAGTTTTTAGAAAATACTACTTGAAAAACAATTTTCATCATATCAAACATATATACATAAATATAGAATAACTAGCCTTGCAATAGCAAAGTTAGAAGTATTAACGGGAAAATATAGAATAATTTTCACCGAACTCCTTGCCATGATCAGGAATAAAATAATAAAAATATGACGAAAATCCTAAGGGAGCTTACCTCAAAGCCAAAATGAGCACAATAAGAAAAGTGTATCCCATATATGTTAAGAAACATAAAATATTATGCTAAATTGAGATGCAATATAATTAGTCCCACAAATAATTTATCCCATATATGATATATCATCAGTCAACCAAAAGGTTAGATAATGGTAGGATAAATGAGTTTCACACAAAATTGAACAATAATCCCAAGTTAAGAACTAACAAAAGTAATTTCACATGAGAGAATAACTTTGTCCCTACAAAAGAGCCCTAATGAAAGTTGTCACTTATAGCCTTAATATAATTAATGAGTCGTCAAAATGATTCTCTATTCTTGGAAACTGGATGCTCGATGTCCCTGCCACCTATATATGTAAATTAAAGAAAATTTAGATGAGATTATGGCTATGATGAAAAATATTTTTTAGAAAAATAAGTTAGTGTTAAGTTTTAATAAGATATCATCGTGGAAAATTTATTTTTTACCAAGGAGTTAAATAATTACTTAAAATATATACATTAGACTTTTTTAATATTAAAAAAATTCATTCAGAACTCTATCTGATTTGCAAAGTGCTCGTTTAATTTAGAAAATGCAAGTATATTAAAGAATATAGTCCAAACTAAAAATAGAAAAAATGAAATTTAATCTCGCATATAATATGGATATATAATACAAAAAATAATTGATTTTTTTAAGAATTATAGTTAATATCAATATTCAATCACGAAATAGATGTAATATCAAGTTAGGTAGAATCACTAACCTAATCATGAGAGTAAACTTGATCAAACTCACTACCTTGTTCATTAGGTAGGTTAGCATCAGGAGGTCCAAGATTCTGAAAGAGATAATCCACATTATTGTATATTTCATATGAAAAATATATTTTAGAAAAATAAGTCAGTATTTAGTTTTAAAAAGATATCATGGAAAACCTTTTTTTACCAATGGAGTTAAATGACTACTTCAAATATATCCATCATTCCCTTTTTAATACATGCAAGTATATTCAAGATTATAGTCCAAAATTAAAAATATGAAAATGAAATTTAATCTTGTGTCTGATATGGATATATACTATAAAAAGAATAATTTATTTTTTCTCTACAAATTATAGCTAATAACAATAATCAAACACAAGATATACATAATATCAAATTAGGTAGAAACACTAACCTGATCATCAGAGTAAACTTGATCAAATTCACTATCTTGTTCATTAGGTAGGTTAGCACCCAAAGGTCCAAGACTCTGAAAAACATAATCCACATTATTGAGACTGAAATATACATCACAATTTTCCATCACACATGAATTACTTCCTTGATACTGCTGGAAATTTGCATTCATATTTGTTGCTCCTTTGGCCATATTGAGAACAAAGTTGTGTTCTTTTTCAGAATGATGATCTTCACTGTTAAGCACTGAGTTAGGCCCATAATGAGTGTTTTTCATAATTGGATTTTCTTGTTCTTGTGAACCCAGCATTCCAAAAATTGGATTATGTTGTTGTTTTAGCTCACCACCAATATTTTTTTGAGCAGATGAAAATGGGTTATAAAATGGATTGCCAATGCCGAGGTAATGGGGTTGAACCTGAAGTTGTGGACGGTAGAGTTGTTGAATTGAACTCTCTCCTTGAGAAAAGATATTATTGATATTTAGAGTTGGCAATGAAAACTCTGAGCCTCTTTGGATTTGATCTTTGTTACGTTGTTGTTTTGTTTTCTAATGGTCAATTTCAGCCTTCTAAATTGGAACTTGCAGAAAGGCTGAGATACATTGGAACAATGATCCAAATAATCTTTTATGTTTTTCATTTGAAAATGCCGCCAGAAGATTAGGCATTCTCCCAAATTTTTGAAAGCTACTTTTTTGTTCATGAGAAACACTTGAGGATCCTTGGCCTGATTGACGATGAATATTTTTTCCCTCTTTTGGAGTTATCCAATTGTTGCCACGGCATATCTGAGATGTGTTATAAGAATATAATGAAAAAATACTAGACCATGATTATATTTATTATCTAATAAACTCATTGTAATTTAGATCTGTTTGAAATGATCAAAGTAAATTATAATTAAAAAAATATTTTTGATGTTTCGTAGTTGGTGAACGATATTTTTTTTAACTAATATAAATTAAATATTCATAATAATATAATTCCATTAAAATATGAAATAGTAGAAATTAATAATAAATAGTTAACTTCTTACAAGTAACAAAAGTATATCACTAATTCTCTTTAATGAGTGAGTTTTTTTATAAGACTTTCCAGTACTAAAGATTGATAATAATATTTAAATATTTATTAACAAAAGTGAAATATAATTAGATTTTTTTTATTTTTTATATAAAAGTAAAATTAAGATAGTTGTACAATAAAATTCTTACAGAAGTGTTTGATGAAAAAAATTGTCCAAGCAAATCATTTTCTTATAATCAAATACGAGAAAATAACGTCATAAATCATTTGATTTTTTATGCAAACTAACTTCATCCTTACAAAGCACAAATGAAACATAATTTACCCCTTAATTCTTTTAAGATGTACCTGAAGGTGGCTAGCAACTTGCATCCTAGTAAGGCCAGGAAAATTCATCACGTGCAGAATATCCTTGGGATAACAACCTGCATGTTCCTTAAGAATGTTAGTTTAATTCAATAATTATAATATTCTCGATTCAAGTTGAGGTACGTATAAACATTACAATCACTAAATTTTAGTTCCAAACAAGTTGATGTCAGTTATAAGTATGAATTTTCACAATGCATATTACTTCATATAAATGAATTGTCAAGATATTTAATTGATAGTAAAGTAGACTTACGTCCTTTCTCAAGTTGTTTTACAGCTTTCATAAATTTGACATGAAGATTGTTAGTCCATTTTGTGTAGTCCTTTCGCCTAACAACCTCTGTTTTAGACACATCTTTCTTCTTTTCGAATTGTTCTTCATTTTCTCCACCCATGTCATTATCAGCAATCGATCCTTCTTTTGCTTTCTCCTTTAGTATTCTTTTCCTCCATACAAATTGCCACAAGTATTTCACAAGATTCTCATCAAATGGCTTCTTAAGGTAAAGATATGCTCCCATGTCCAAAGTTTTCTTTGCTTCGAGTTCATTGTAATCATCATATACAACTGCAAAATTAGAAGTCATCAATTAGAATTAATTTGAATTATATATTGTGTGGAGTAGTTAATTTAACACTTATTTATTGAAATTTATTCAATATAATAATAATATTATATAATAATTGTTTCTCATATACTAAAGAATATTAATTAGAAAATGATAATTTATGTTACTAAACAATAAATCATAGTTAATCCTAAAACCATTCTATTTAGCTATGAACTACATATCAATAAATTGAAAGTAATAGTGGTTGCTAATCCTAAACCATCCTTTTTAGCTATGAACTAAATAACTATAAATTGAGAGAATTAGTGGGGAATCGGGATTTTTCTTAAAGGTCTTAATGGTTGTAGTAAAAAAAATTATAACAAGGCTAGTAAGGATTGAACACACAATTTCATAATAAATTTGCAACCCCTTATCCAATAGACTAAATCTTTAACTCGTTTTAAAAGGTGTCAATACATGTATATATATTTATAAAGTCAAATCTAACATCTATATACAATGTAATTTCCTGACAAAAGGATGTCGCTTGACACACCTTGATCAGTGATGGCCCGCCCATGGACAATAAATTTTATAGCCTATTTTCTTGTAGTGTATAAACTTAAATAACTGACTTATCTATAGTAGACATAATAAATTGAAGAGTAGAATATATACTTACTGAGTGAAATTATATCCAAAGCCACAGCTTGAGCTAAGAGTTCAAAAGTAGGCATATTCGATGAATGAATATTGAGTATCATTACATCAACTTTTTGCTTTTCTTTGGAGAGCATTAACATTGTTGTTGAAGTCATATCAGCCATTGTAACTGTATCAGTTTTCTTTAAAAGTCAGTGAAGAAAATTATGTACAAAATTATCATGTAGGTTACTAAGTTTTCATAGAAAAATTAATTTATAAATTTTTATGTTATATTGCAATACTTTAGTTTATAAAATTGTGAATATTGATCAACTTCTATTATAATTATTGTGAGAAATCGTTGACAGACTTATATAATAAAATTTTATACAGTATCATTTAGATTAAATAATTGAATTAGAGAATACTATAGAAAATCATATAAGAATATATTAATTAAAAATTTACTCCAACGAAATAACAAAGAAATTCAAATCCAAATAATTAAACACATAAAGGAGATGGAATAAACAATGAATACTAAAAAATAATAAAGAAATCCAACCCAAAAAAGATGGAAAGAATTAAATAGACCTAACTATACATAATTATCAGCTATATATCTTTTTGTAGAGTGAAATAATTTAAGAGAATCACCATTTTATTTTAAGATACACATAAGATATAATTTACTTGTCCTTTAAAACACTTTGCAAAATTTTTTATTGTATTCACAAGTTAAAGTAGAGAAATTAATTAGATGACATTAAGATTGAGACAAAAAAAAATTACATGTAGTGGTTAAACTAGTTCAAATTGTTTTCCTTTCAAAAGGAAAATAAAAATAAAATTATACAAAAATTTCAAGGTGTGCCATGATCAAAAGGAATAAAGATGAAATAACATGCGCATATTTATTAAAATATATTACTACTTTGTTTTTAAAAGATACAATTTCTTTTGAACAAAAAAAGGGGGGGAAATATTTTTATTTTATTAATATCAGATCCCTATTTTTTTTATTTTTTTTTTGTCTACATAGCTATATCCAAATAAAGAAAAAAAAGTTCTCAAGATAAAAAATAATAATAGCCAGATCAGTTCTTATCTAATCCTTTTCTATTACTCTTGCTTTTTCCTCCTATTACCCTAATGTTTAGCTGCCGTCACCCTAGCAAATTATAATTATTAAAACGATAGATTGTTAAAAAAAATAAAGATATACACCTTAAAAATGATTTTTGAGAAAATGATTTATTTTTCTCCTACTCTATATCACTCCAAACCAATTGACACAGAAAGTCGCCCCCTCCCTCACTCCACCCCCTCTTTCTACAAAAGATCAAGTATAAAACTTAAATGTAAGTTGATTAAATAATTAAAATTAACTTTAAATAATTAAAATTAACATAAAATTGTATCCCTCGAAGAACATCTGCCTCTTCGAAAAATCATATACATCTATGAGGGAAAGCTAATCGAGTCTCTCATATGCTTAAAGCAAGAACCAAAAATAGAGAAGCTGATTTGACTTTTTATAGCTGCACAAATACATTTAATGGGCTAAAAAAATAACATATACAAACACAGAAATAGTGTTACAACAACGAGAAAAAGAGAAGTTCAAGATTTACAAGATATTAAAATAAAATTTAAAAAGAGATCGGTTTTAAAATCACAAATGAGATAACAAGCATCATATCAATTAAATCTCTTACAAAAAGTAAATTATAGAAAACCTTGTTTATCAAAGACTAAGTTATACATTTGCTATATATACATAGAGAGAGGAATATTACCTTTATAGTTATGCGCCTTTAACAAATCAGTCAACTTGGTAACAAACTCTGTGTCATCATCTATCAGCATTACGCACACTTCTTCTATCATACCATGATAGGAAGCTTCCATCAGGTTATATGTTCCTTCGATGATTTGAGAATTTTTGTATTTGGACATAACAATGAGATACAAGAAATTAATTTATTATGTAAAAAAGCAAAATGTAAAAATCCTTAACTATTCTGATAGGTGCTTATATAGTACCTCTAATGACTATGAGCATGTCTAACGTTGACCTTACAAATAATTTTATTTGACATATTTGATTTCTTTCCTTTCTTGAGTCAAGATAAAAACATATTTTTCTCTTTTTCTTTTTTCCTTTTTTCCTTTTACGATTTTGGCATTGAAGTGCAATTCTTAACTCTTTAATTGATAGGTACTTATACAGTACACCTATTGGCTAATGAGCATGTCTAGCGTTGACCATACAATAATTTTATTTTTCCTATTTAATTTTTTCCTTTATTGAGTCAACAAAAAGGTATACTTTTATCTTCTTCTGTTTTGTTTTTCCTTCTACGAGTTTAATATGAAGCGCAATGTTTTCTTTATAAAATATATTTTCAATTTTAAGAATCTATTTGGATTATAAGAAGATGTTTGTCACTTATGGGATATGAATGAATACTTATTTTCAGTTAAAAGGTATTACAATCATGGTCTTACTTTATCTCAATTGTTCCAGTGAATACTTACATATTATTATCTCCCGTAGTTTATCTCAATTATTTCAGCCAATGCTTACATAATAATAATAATAATAATAATAATAATAATAATAATAATAATAATATTATATTATTATTATTATTATTATTATAATATTATATTATTATTATTATTATTATTATTATTATAACTAAAAAGTATCATAAGATAATTGTCTCCTTATCATATAATCCACATTGAATCATGACCAACTTTGAAATTGATCTAGAAACAATCTTTTTAGATAAAATATTATTTACATATTCTTATATCAGACGAAATCTAATATTTTATTGACTTATTAAATATTTAAATTAATTTTGCAAAAATTATTGCATATATTCTTCCTTTTCTATTAAAAAAATTGTGTATTTGAGAACTTCATATGTTACTATTAAATCAAAATATATTTAGTTAATTTTGCACATATATTTACTTGTTACTAAGGATAAGCATAAGAGCAGTATTAGTTATTGGTGGATCTTCAATTTCAAAACTTTCGAAGTTCAATATAAGAACTAAAATTTTAGAAATATTAAAGATAATAATATGATAAAGCACTATAGCTATAGTTTCGGTTATTGCGCTACATTGTTATAATTTTTTCTATGGAGATTGTGATTTGTATATTTCGCTTGCAAATATATAAATAGGGTAAATATATACCAATGAAGGTTGCATTTTGTATATTTCGCTTGCCCATTTGCGTATTTCTCTTAGAATATACAAACAATGTAAGAATGTATAAATTTTATATTTATACATTTAAATTTTTTTAGAATTCTATTTGTATATTTCTTTTGTCAATATTCAAACAGGGTAATTTACTGTAATTTTTTTATAATTTGTATAAAAATAGCTAGGGTGAATATAAAAATTTGGATTTACACAATCATGAATCAAATTATATAAATTCTAAATTTATACAAGTAGGGACCAAATACAAATTTTGAATTTATATAATCAAATAACTGACTTAAAAAAATTTGTCAAACTATAGCTACGGATTAAAAATAATCAAAATTGTAGCTATATTACATAATCTATTCGAGATGTTTGTAATTATGCATAACTTTTTCAATTGTAAAAAACAAAATATCGAATGACCATTTATTATAATAAATGACTTATTCTTTTAGTATGATATTTTGGTATAAGAAATTTAACCTAATGGACAATTTATTTAATTTTCCCTAAATAAGCTACTTCCAAAGACAATCCACAATATTCAGTTTTAAAATGAAATTATCCCAAACATTATCTACAATAAATTTTAGGAAAAATTAGCAATTTAATCATAATACCTAATATATTTAACAAAAATAACAATACTTATTTATTTTGAATGTCAGAATGACAATATTTTATAAAATAATATGTATTCAAATTTTAGTATTCAAAATTAATTTTATTTATGAAAATAGTCCTATATTGGACAAAATTCAAAACCAATCAGTTTCCTACACCCATTAACCTTCCTTGGGGAAATTTTTTTCAAAACAACAATATTTAAGCTTTTAGTGGGACTTCTTAGCAACAATTTTATTGTTTATTAAAAATGTCATTATTTTATTTTGTTAAGGGATTAATTATGTATTTATGTTATTATGATTAATATTTAAAAAAACAAATAACTAATAATAGAACCGAGAAAATCATACAGCAAAAAAAATAATCAAAAAAGGTAAAAAAAAATTAAATACAAATTAGTTATGTTTTGAAATGAGCATAAATAGTCATCAATCTGTCTAGCGTTTTTTTATTTTTTATTTTTTTGCTTTCTTCTTAAGGACATCAAAAAAATTGGGAAAATGCTCAAATATGTCATTGAACTTTCAGAAAAAGGCTTATTTATTTCGTCACTTAAAAGTTTGGATTATCAACGCCATTACCGTTTAAAAAAATGTTCATTCATGTCATTATTTTTGAACGATCGCTTTGCAAAATCATTTTTTACACATGACCAATTATAATTAGGTCACGTCATTATTATTTTTATAATATAAAAACAAAGTTTTGAATAAACATTAAACTAAATTACCTACACAAGTAAAGACCCACCCAAATTTGAAACATACTTATAATTATTTTAATTTAATGTTTGTTAAAAATTTTGATTTTTTATTATAAAAATAATAATGACATGACTCAATTATAATTGAACACGTGTAAAAAATATTTTGTAAAATCAACGTTAAAAAATAATGGCATGAATGATTCTTTTCTTAAACGGTAATGACATAGATGAGTCAATTTTTTAACGATTGGCATAAATAAGCCTTTTCTAAAAGTTCGATGACATATTTGAGCTTTTTCTCAAAAAAAATAAATAATTTAGTTTGTCTTGCAAATCATTCAACTGATAACTTTTAAAGCTTCTTCAAGTTGAATACGGAATATTTTTGAAATGGAATTTTTCAAAATTGACGACTATAAATTCGTCACATCTAGTGAATAATCAAAAAACAATCAGGTATTTTTTTGACTTTTTTAATTTATTTGAATGAGATATTTGTATATCGAGTACAGGAGTGTTGTTTTTTCTTGATTGATCAATGAAATTTTTCAATACATTGGGATTTATGTTTTTTTTTTTTGGATATTTTGTATCCAAATTATGATGTATAAC